CCCCAAAACCCCAAAACCCCAAAACCCCAAAACCCCAAAACCCCAAAACCCCAAAACCCCGAGGGAGTTCTTGGGGGTAGAAAGAAGATATTTTTGAGGTATTAATATAACTAGTTTGATTAAAATACAACTTGTATTGTTATGAAGCAAATTTCTGATCTTTTAAATTTTAGATATCAAAGTCTTACTATCTATGATCATGAACTTTCAATGCATCAACACATTGCTATGCTTGTTGACTTTTATTTCAATGCCTTCGGTTCGGAATTGTTCCGAGTATTTCTCTAGGTTGCTCCACTGACACTTGTCTGTTATCACCTGCAGCTTCTTCGGATCTCCAATGTTATAGATTACATTGCTAAGCAAACTCGGACTGATGACTCCTTGCCCAATGCTGTAGTTACAGATCTTGACAGTGTTCTTGGCACTCAGCAAGCACATCTCAAGTGTTTCTTTAATATACTGCGTGTTGTTAAGATCAAGACCGCTGAACACGATATCAGGCTCGATCTCTGACTCATCATAAGAAATATAGTTCTTTGGAGGTTCTTGGACTAATATTAAATCTCCATGGATAACCTTAGATATCAGCTCACTCAGACCCTCATCCCCTTAAACAACCTCTAAAACCCCAAAAATCCTCCTCCAGCACAACTCCTCAGTCAAAATTTGTTCCTTAAAAAGCCCATCCTTCAACCCCCAGCTGAGAGCTTGAATCGTACAAGGAAGAACAGCAGCAGTAGAAATCTGAAGAAGGAATACAGTGGGTGGGGATAGGGCCAGGCTGGGAATTAGACTGGCTGGGATGAGGGGGATTAGGGCTGGAGAGAGCGGAGTTTAAGGGAATGAGTGATAATAGAGGGGGTTTTGGGGTGAGAAGGGGTCAGTGTTGAGAAGATGTTGAAAGGGGTTAGGGATTTGATACTGTGTTGTTAAAAGAAATAGAGTTGATGGAAGTAGAAGAGGAGTATTGGTTGGGTTTTAATTTTTAAGTTTTTGATGATTTTTATTCAACTTTTACAATCTGTACTGGGGTTTTGGGGTTTTGGGGTTTTGGGGTTTTGGGG